GGGGGGGGGGGGGAGCACTCAGCATGCACACGGCAGGGAGTCTGGGCTACAACCCAGCAGGACTGGAAGTCCTCACGCAAGAGCCTCATGGTGACGGTTCTTGAGTGCATGTGATCGCTCAGGCACTGTGCTCATAAGTAAATTAACTACTGTAACAACCCAATGAGGCGAGCAGTGCCATCTTCCCATTTTAAGACAGAGCAACTGAGATACAAAGGGGTAAGTGAGCTATGCACGGCCACAGACCAGGACACGCCAAGCAGAGTGGCCCCAGGCCTCCTCTGAAAACCACAATGCTCTCCAATACTGCCTTGTCAATGCACTTTCCACCAGAACTCAGCTGCTCCAGCTGAGGAGGAACTAGAGAGGGACAGAGACTCAGTCCTAGGAGCAACGCTGACTCCACAGGTGGCAGCTACCATCCACCAGGGAAGGAAACGGAACACAAAAACGTGGGGTGAGCAACAGGACATCGGGAAGAGAGCTGGGTCTCCCTTCCAAGGAGCTGACCAAGCAGGAGCCCTCAAAGTGACAGTTACAATATCAAACAGGCAAGCAGATGCCATCTGAGATGTGACATACAACGTTTCCAGAGGGAGGAAGATTGTGGGATTCTAGGGGACAGGCTGGACAGGGCCAGACAGGGCCGATAGAGCAAGGGGTGCCAAGTTGGCTCCTGGAGGCGAGACAGGGTTTAGTGACACCGGAGGCAAGGGTGCGAGGAAGAGGAAGGCAGAAATGAGGCACCCATACCCAATCCTTTAAAGGGAGAAGTGAATGGAGGGAGGGAGCAGCAGAGTGAAAGGGAGGGGTTCACGAAGAGTGCTGGAATGCACCAGATGCTGGTGACAGCCTGGATATATTCCCCCAAATCACCAAGTACTGACTGAACCCCCTTACCCATCAGCGTAATGAGATCCGTCATGGCCTCGTGCACCGAGCCCCCATACACCCCGGAGTGCAGGTCCTTGTCGCTGCATTCCACCTGGACGGAACAAAGGCCGCTCTGTTGGCTGCTTAGAGGGAGCTCATTTTTATCATAGAGGGAGCTCATTTTTATCATGTGACAGTAAATTGAACCAAGTACACTCATAAGACCTGACAGGCAATTTTTAAAATTAAAATTTGCTCCTTCAATGAGCAAAGCAAGGCATTTCCTAAAATACAAAATTGGAATAACAAAAAATACCCTCAGAAATGCCAGCCACAGGCAGACTAGGAATACTAACCACAGGTAAACTGGGAACACTGACCACAGGTAGACCAGAAAAACTAACCACAGGTAGACCAGGAATACTAACCACAGGTAGACCAGGAATACTGATCACAGGTAAACCAGGAACACTGAGCACAGGTGAGCTAGGAACACTGAGCACAGGTGAAACATGCCGCAAGGCAGTTCCCCAGCACTCAGCCTTTTCCCAGTGGTCTCAGGAAGACCCTGCACCAAGCTATTGGAAAGGTAACAGCTACCAGGAAGAAGCCAGCAGGGACCAGAGCCCGAGGACCTGGGGTCAGTCCCCGCCCCGCCGCTGCTGCACTGTAACCAGGGGAAGGCGGGAGCAGCTCTGGACCTATGCTTCCTCGCCTGCAGCATGGCAGAGTAGACCACTTATCTCCCAGCCACTGTGTCCCTGCCAGTAACTCGTGCAGCGGGTAGGAAGGAGCCTGCACAGAGTGAGTGCTCAGCGCAGCCACTGTGATCATTCCCGGTACTGTGAGTCCATAAACCACCCTCATGGCAGGAACTAACTTCACCATCAGTCACCAGAGCAGCAGGACCCCCGCCTTTCTCTGTAGAGACCGAGGCTCAGCCCACCGGACAGTGAGTGGCAGGTCCGTCCTCCTGGGCTTCTGTGTCAAGTGCGATGCCCCAGTTCCCTCAAGATCACCCAGTCAAGGGGTAAGAGCTTAAGGGCTGGAACACACTGTCCCTTTTAAAGGAAGTCTTTCTAGAATGCTCTGTGTAAGTCCTTTCCTACATGGACCAGCATGCGCTCTTTCCTCAACTGCTGCAAGACCACCCAGCTTGAGGGTGGAGGCTGCAGCTCTGAGGGGTCGGGCGTGCAGCCCCCAGAGAATCACTGTGGAACACGGGGAACAGCTGATACCTCGATGAAGAAGTAGCAGATGCCCCGGAGGCCGTAGGTGATGCACGGTTTCTTTTTCCCCAGCCAGTAGTTGTCGGAGATGCAGACGTAGTCCACGTCTTTAAAGAAGGTGTCTTTCTGGGCAAAAATCAGCTCGTCCAGGCCCTCGGAGCCCGACTCCTCCATGCCCTCCAGACAGAAGCGGATGTTGACAGGGATTTCCTGTGACAGAGAAAGAGTGTGGCAGGCATTCAGCTTCCACATACTTTACCTCTTAGAGACAACAGACAAGAAGTCACCAAATATTTAGAAATCACTAGTTTCAAACACCCGCACTTCCTCCAGACCAAGCACGCTGGTGGCCTATGTGTGGCCCCCAGTAACCCACAGTCCCCAGGCACTGGGCTCTCAGGGGACAAGCCTGGCTCCAGCCACAGTGACATCCTCACTGAGAGCTCCTTGCAAGCTACTCCTCAGGTGACGTTTCCTAGTCACAGGGATGTCTGCACCCACCAGTGCAGGTCAGGAGTCTCCAGTAAAGCCCGAGCTGCTCTCTGAAGGCCGCACACAAAGACCACAGGAGTCTTCATTTGCACCCCTGTGGCCACCACCAGTGCCCACAAGGGAGAGACTCCTCCTAGTTCAGAAGGCACTCCTGCACTATGACCTCCACTCTGTTCGCACTAAAGTCCCTTTTCCCAAAGAGCAGATGCTCCTGTCTCTCATCCAGCTCCTGCCTGTAGTTTTCCAGGTCTCGCCAGTGCTGTGCAGTGAGGCAGGAAGATCCACACACAGCAAGGCCCTCACTGGGACTCAAGTCTGCACAGCCCTGCTCAGAACTGCCCCCGGACAGCACTGCTCATGGCAAACCTCCCCTCCCCACCTCTGCCCTCAGATGGAACCCTTCTGGGGGCCTTGGTATATGGAAGAGGTAAGTGGAGCTGCTCTGGTCGACTGCTCTACACCCGGCCACCCTTCCCCTCCAATGCTCCCAGTCTATGCCCAGCACACAGCGGCCACGGGAGCCCCGCCATCCAGCGGTTCTGGGCCTCAGCTTCCTCCCGTGCAAAATGGACCCCTGGCCAGAGGGTCAAGGACCCCAAGCAAATCTACCATTTCACACTCTGATAAATATGCTTGTCTTATAATTTTGATTTTATGATACAAGATAAAAGCAAGATGCAAAAGTCATCTGTACATTTAGCCATAATTAAGTTAAAAACAACTGAAAGGATCAGTAACAAAATATTAAGTCTCTTAGGGTTGAGATTCTAGGCAATTTTTTCTTTCTATTTCTCTATATTTTACAAACTTTCAACAAGGAGTGGATATTTCCTAGTTAAGGAAATATATTTTTAAAAATAAAATGTATTTTCAGGAGGCTTTAAACCACAAAGAGAGTAAGCAGTTTGTCAACTATCGTGGCCTGTGAGAGTGTGGCCAGCACTCTCCATGCGGTGGGTCATCTGTGTGTGGCCTGGGTTCCTACTGAGTCATCACATCAGTGCGACCGTTGAACATTGTAAAACAACTATACCTGCAGTGTTCCCTGAAGCTAGAACACAACCTCTCAGCTAGAATCTGAGTCACTGGGCTGACACCTGAGCGGGGAGCCTGCTGTCACCTATCCCCGTGACCTTTGACCTGGACAAGCCCAGCCTTTTAGCTCAGATGGAAGCAGGTGCACCAGGCCTGACTCGAGGCAACATACCTGACCTGTCTTCTGAAAGGCTTCCAGGGCATTCATCCAGCCGGCTACCGGCCCCTTGTCATCAGTCGAACCCCTTCCATACAGTTTGCCTAGAACAACAATCAGCAAATTCATAACGTAACAAGACAAGGAGACAGACAAGAGAGCGAATCCTCAGTGAATACCTGGTAACATTAGTGAAACCACTTGCGACAGTCCTGAGTTTCTCCTCTTGACATCAGAAGCCCCATTTTCATGCTGTCAGGATCATGAGTCTCCATCTGGCATTACTACTAGAATGCCCGGAGAATTTGCCCTCACCTAAGGCAGCCACGTCACCTAAGTAAGGCAGCCACGTGGATGCCTCCAGGTTCCCCTCCCGTCCCCCACGATGGAGCAGTTAGCCATCGCTCACGATCCTGCTGACTCAGGCCACAAACTTCAGACCCAGGTCCAGGAACTATCAGGGGCCAGTGGTTAAAATATACTTCCCAAATCAGCTGGCAGTGATAAGAGCAGGCAACCTGGGCACAGGTAGGAAACACAATGTACCCTTATCAAGAGAATGACAAATCTCACCCCTACCCCAATTTCCACATCTAATTTGATAAAGAATAGAACTACGCTTGTCACTGATTCCTCTTGGGTTCACTGGAATCTAAAAGCACGATACTGCTTCTCCTCAGTGTAAGCAGTCAGTCCCTCCCCTCTGCACCCCGGCTTCTGGGACCCCCAACACAGGGTGGCTGGACTGGGAAAACAAGGCCTACTATCATGTGACACAGAGCACCCGAGGGCGACCAGAGCAAGCCTGGAAGGCCATGCCTGCCTGGGGCTCAGCTCTCTCTGTCCTGGTCAGCCCTCTGACTTCCTCATTCCTAGGACTGTTTTCAAACATTTGGCAGTTTCAGTATGACCCACTCCAAAGCAGTACTAGGCTTACAGCCATCATTACCCTGGGGACTTCCTTTTAAATTAAACCCAACTTTTCACAAAAGCTGAAGAGCTCTCCTAAAAGCATCCTCATTCCCGTGAGGAACGCACGAGGGAACTGCACGTGCAGACCGCTGCTCAGAGGTATATGAGACAAAGAGGCCTGCTCCCCTCAGCTCCATCAATGCCAGGTCTGCCAAGGGAGTCTGTCTATCCCTTGCTATCAGGGGAGGGGCTGTGTCTAGGCTGGTGTCATGTGGAGCACGTAGGGGAGGAGCTGTAAGCAGACAAGACAGGGAGGTGGGGGCCCAGTGCCACTGAGTCTCCAGAGAGGTGTCAAGTGGAGACTGAGCTTGTGAGGGCTGCAAGGCTTCAGTTCAGAGCAGAGGGAAGTGTGGCTGAACCAAGGCCACAGAGCCGTTTCCACAGGACGGGAAGGCTTACTCATGTTGTCATAACTGGCCCACATGCAGGAAACTTCTGGAGGACAATTTCTACATTGTGTCAGAACAGTCTGTCCTAGGAATATGGCCAAGGGCATGTCAGTGATTTGCTGGAGCAGCAGCAGGATCGAAGCGGGGCTCCTCCAGGTGCTGCTCCCCCGGGACAGAGTCCTTACCATCTCGCTCTACCAAAGTGAAGGGCTCACTGTCCCAGCCGTCCTCCAGGGCTGCGGGCTGCACGTCCAGGTGGCCATAGATGCACACCGTCTTCTTCAGGGGGTCGGAGCCCAGCTTGCCAAGTAGAATGGGAGGAAGCGGTATCTCTGAGCCATCAGGGAGCTGCGAGGGGAGAGGGAAGCATGTGAGGACAGCCTCTGTTTAAAAACCTGGCATTCACGGCAGACTTACTAAATACCTTAGCATTCTTATCCCTGTTCATCAGCCTCCGTCTACTGCAGGGTTTAAGATCATATTGCTCAATGAGTTATTAATTAATAAGAAATTACTTTCCTATAATCCAGAGAACAAAGACTGAATTATGCTCACCAACTGTAGGCAATTTTTTGATAAATTTTTAAAGGCAGATTTTTTTTAAACTTTTATACAATAAAGCATGTTATGAAAGGCGAGTTTGGGAAGTAACATAGTTCAGTATTTCCTAAATTAAATAATGGAAGAAAGCTACTGCGATCTTACAGCAGAAGGCAGGTGTTTGGAATCTGTACCCAGACCACAGCTCTGAACAGAAAGGGCCACAGACAGATGCAGTGACTAAGCCACAGGGAGCCCCATGAGCAGGCACTGGGAGCTGGTGGTCCCAAGCTTCCTCCCAAGGCCTTCTGGTCGCCCATGGTCCTGTCAGAACAGGCCAGTGCATAACCATGGTAGTCTCTCTCGAGTAGCAGTGCAGGGACTCGAAGGCAGGCTTAGGGCTTCTCCACACCCACACCAGCTCCACTCTCCCAACAGACACTTTAAAGCCGGGCCCTGCACCCTGTACCAGCTCTCCCAGCTCCCACATTTCAGCAGGGAAACCTGTCACCATACAGAATACCACAGGCAAAAGGCTGGGGCATGGGGTGCAGGATGGTGAAAAGTACACATCCATCTATATCTGCTACCAGGTAAGGATTAGTCACACTAGAACCATCACACACGTATGCATCAGCCTAGTTACTAGAAAACAGTCTTCATGACAATATACATTAATAAACACACAGGCTAAATTGGTAATGAAGCTAAACTAACAATTTACAATCAAGAGGTAAATGAGCAGCTAGTAAAAATGACAAGCTAATCAGGGCGATCAGGACAAGACCGGTGATGGCTGATGCACGTGTCTCCCCCCAGCTCCAGGGGTTCTGACTACCTCTGGGTGCACTGTACATTCAGGAAAGCAACAGGCGGCCGGGATTCTTGCAGGACCACAGATTTGTCGTCCCAGTAAACTTCACTTATAAATACTAAGTGTAAGGGGTCTCAGTAACCCCACAGGCACCCCTGTGCAGCCCTCACACACATCGCTGGACCAGAATCAGGAGGCACAGGTTTTGTCTCCTTTGCCATGACTGGTGTGGTTCCAGTGGAGACACAGCCCATCTGGGCCTCTGGGTGCTTCCATTCATGAAAAGAGCAAACTGGGCTGAATGTCCACAATAAAACCTGGGGACAATGACCTCAACTGACAGTTATATCATCAGGCAAGAGAACCAGGATAAAGCAAACCTTGCCACGCTCTGCAATATAAATGATACTCATCTTAAAAAATACACGGCACGAAACATGTAATTCACACGGGACTGAAATCGGGATGACTTGGCGTGAGTGGACTGTTCACCTCAGTTAGGAAAAAAGCAAACCAGCCCTGACCAGTGTGGCTCAGTGGCTCGAGGGTCAACCTGAGCACTGGAGGGTCGAGGATTCAGCTCTGGGTGAAGGGCACGTACCTGGGTTGCAAGTCTGATTCTGGTCTGGGTAAGGCAACCAGTCGATGTGTGTGTGTCTCTCTTTCTCTCCCTCTCGCCCTCCCTCCTTTCCACTCTCTCTGGAAAAAATATCCTCGGGGGAAGATTAACAAAAAACAAACAAACAAACAATGTCATTTGTCAGAATGCAGCCAGCACACAAAGTTCCTCTTTCAAGAAAAAGTGCTATTCCTAGCAGTTGGGATGCTGGGGACAGGGTGCAGGGACAGTGGGAGCCTTCATCGTTTTACACCTACGTGGATAGAGTGTAACTGCCTAGGCTGAAAGGAGACTGATTGCTGGGGAATCTCGGCTGTTTTCTAAGGACAGCCTCTGCTCACTTACTCTTGAGTAACCCCCACAGCTCTCCTTCCCGCAGAGAAAGGCTGAGGATGACACAACCTTTGCCCCAGTGCAAGGGAGGAACCACACAGAGATTTGCATCCCAATCAGGGCTTTCGGTTGAAAGACAAGCCGGGTGTCTGAACGCACACTCATACCTTCTGCTTTCCAATGTCCACCAATTCCACGGAGCCGCCCAGCTGCTTGACGTCCGCAGCGGCAACTTCCATCATCCTTTTGATTTCCCCCCTCTTCTCGGGCCAGGCAGACACACTCTGGATGGCCACCCATTCTGCAAGCTTCTGTTTGTGGACAATAAGCACAAAGGGGCTCTCAAAAAGTGCTCCTTATCCACCCCTTTGCCAAGTTTCAGGCCCAACGCTGACCTGCTACCTGGGGCCACTCCATGCTAGGCGTGCTGGCCAGATGTGGGAGGACAGACCCACCACACCTGCTATTTTGCTAAGATTTTAGAAACCTGCTTTCACTGACCCTGTAGCAAGAACTACAGCATAACAGAAACGTGTCAGAATACGTATTTTTAACTATTAAGCATGGGGCAAATGTGAAATGTACCCAGTCCATAAATACCTCTATACCTAAATCTAATAAAATTACAACTGTAAACATACTTTTGCCCCATCCTATACATACATTTTTAGTTACTTTTTTTTTTTGCTGTGAGAACACATAAGAACTTCTGTGTCACCACGCCATACATTAAACCTCCGGAACTTTCCTTTTTATAACTGAAAGTGTGCCCTTTGCCCAACATCTCCCAGTCCCCCTGCCCTGACCACCACCATTCTGCTCTCTGCTCTCCGAGTTCCTTTTTCCAACTGCACCTATGTGAGATCGAGCAGCATCGTCTGTCTGTAACACTTGATTTAAACAGCATAGCTCACATTAGTGTTCCTGAGCCCCACAGGATTAGACAGGATTGTAAGTTTATTAGAATAAGTAAATATCCCCTTACCTTAATGTAGCGATCCTGATTTTCATCCACATACTTAAACAGGGTCGTGAGGCCTGACATCTTCCAACCAGAGGGCAGACCTTGGAGATTCTTGGGAGGAAAAGGAACCTGTCAATCCTGCCTCCACACAGGGCGCTACTGACTGAGGGAAATGTACACGACTGCTTAGGGTCATGAACTCCTTCCTACCCCACCCTCCCTGCCAGCAGTGGGCAGTCACAGGCAGTCATCATGTAGATTCCAGGAAATGACTGCAGAGGCAGAAATGAAAGCTCTGGGATGCAGAGAGGCTCAGGTTGGTCTCCCACCTTTTTCAGAAGGAAAATGTACCCCAAATGGTGTCACAATGGTAGATAATGAAGGAAGGGCCTGGGTTGAGGACAATCTGATGAAAATTAAAAATCGGCACTTCCCAGCAACACTGACTTATTAGCACTTGAAATTTTAATTTGATTTTACTCTCCTGAAGCTCAGAGAACTTTCCACTTGTTATGACCAGAGGCAATCATCACTCCCAGGATCCCAGCAAAAATATCCCAGCCTGCCTACAACACACAAAGCCCAAGGACAGACAGATAAACTCCCTTTAAGGAAGTTGACAATCTGAGTCCAGAAACTGCCAGAGGCAGCATGCAGAAACCCCCATGAAGGCCTGATTAGCATAAGCAACCCCATCTACCTGTGCTCCCTTCCCCAGTGCATTCCTGACACCCAGTTCCCCATGTGTGTGACCCAGCCCATCTGCCCCGCCCCACAAATAAGGGAAAAGAAATCCCCTAATGGATCACCTTTAAAATCTGGAATGCATACAAAACAAAAATGATTCTGGTATAGCCCAGCCTGAGTGGCTCAGCGGTTGAGCATCGACCTAGGATCCAGGAGATCCAGTTTCATTCCTGGTCAGGGCAGGTGCCTGCGTTGCCAGCTCAGCTCAGTTCCCAGCAGGGGGCGTGCAGGAGGCAGCCTATCAATGACTCCTCATTGATGTTTCTCTCTCCCCCTCTCCCTTTCTCTCTCTGAAATCAATAAGGATATGTATTTTTTTTTAAATTGTTTTGGTATATACTGAGACTTTCAAAATTGCTTCTGTCCCTTCCTTCAATTGACAACTCCAATCCCATCCAGTGATTGGAAAAGGCTCAGCTATGCCCCAGGGATCCGCAGCATTACAGACCCGCAGCTGCAGGCTCACCAGATCCCACCACGTCCAGCAGTGCTGATGCCTGGGCACCCACACGCTGCAGTTAAAGAGCCAGTTTTGCTTGGTATGGGATTCCAACGTGGTTTCTGAACAGAGCAGTGACTGTGTGCCCTGTGACATGAAGGAGGGCAGGGGGCAGCTGCTCAGCAATACAGTGAGGTCAGTAAGGGCAGGAGATCAGACTGCTTATTCTCGGGGCCTCCTTCCTCCTCTTCGAACACAAGCCACAGGACGTAAAAGATTACAAACCTCCCAGCCAGCTTCGGCCTGAGGCTCTCATCTGACAGAGCCCAGCCAGACAGCACACGAGCGCCGCAGAGGAATCTCATGGGCGTTAACAAGTCAGATTTTCATCCATCTACCACCAAAANGGATATGTATTTTTTTTAAAATTGTTTTGGTATATACTGAGACTTTCAAAATTGCTTCTGTCCCTTCCTTCAATTGACAACTCCAATCCCATCCAGTGATTGGAAAAGGCTCAGCTATGCCCCAGGGATCCGCAGCATTACAGACCCGCAGCTGCAGGCTCACCAGATCCCACCACGTCCAGCAGTGCTGATGCCTGGGCACCCACACGCTGCAGTTAAAGAGCCAGTTTTGCTTGGTATGGGATTCCAACGTGGTTTCTGAACAGAGCAGTGACTGTGTGCCCTGTGACATGAAGGAGGGCAGGGGGCAGCTGCTCAGCAATACAGTGAGGTCAGTAAGGGCAGGAGATCAGACTGCTTATTCTCGGGGCCTCCTTCCTCCTCTTCGAACACAAGCCACAGGACGTAAAAGATTACAAACCTCCCAGCCAGCTTCGGCCTGAGGCTCTCATCTGACAGAGCCCAGCCAGACAGCACACGAGCGCCGCAGAGGAATCTCATGGGCGTTAACAAGTCAGATTTTCATCCATCTACCACCAAAAATGTAACCAGAAAGCTATCTATGACAGTGTGCTATACTGGGCACTTTTATTTGGGTCCCTGGTCATCAAACAGCACAAATCGCAAACTCGGAGCGGTACGTTCTCATTCATCGCTTGCTCTGTGCAGCCAAGTTTACCCGCGGCCTTCCAGGGCCACTCCAAGACGGAACTACTTAAACCGCACCTGTCACCGAAGGACACTAAACAGACCCTTGACCGCAAAGCCAACTCTTCCCCAGGGCTGGGCCAAAAAAAA